TCAGATTGTATCAAAATCAGACCTCTAGATAAGTCTTTGAATACTGCAGCAGATTCTAATCAATAATATTTTTATTTTCTATATAACTTAATTTCTGCTAACCTTTTTATTTTCTAACTACATAGATGATTTCTGGTAAGTTTTATGCTATTCAGAATTTAGCAGATTAACTTGCATTCAAACAGATACACAAAAATAATGAAGGTGTCGATGTAAGTGACTAAAATGACAATTTGCCTTGAGCAAAGTCCATTGAAAACCACTGGAAAACAAAACGAAATGCATGGGTGTAAACCTGTAAATGCTGGATCAAGGAGTAGAGGCCTTTACCAAAGCTGATGTAATGTCAACACCTCACTTTCCCAGCTCAGATATTGTTTATTCTGTTGGCATGAGCATATCAAATGTCATTATGACCTTTCAATTAATTTATGAATGCTGCAGCAGTTCACTATAAAGTGATGACTTGCTCAAATGAGTATTTCAATTTCCCTTTTTTTGAACTATCACTCCTTGGAGGAATGACAATATTGCTGACAGAAAAAAAACTACCAGCAAACAGAATAATGGAGTGTATAAAGGACTATAGATCTTCAGGTGAAAGCCTGTTATGTGGCTTCATGAACAACAACTTATTTGTATAGCCCCTTTAATGCAGTGAAATTTCCCAAGGCACTTTGCAGGAACACTACCAAACAAAATGTGACACCCTGCCACATTAGGGAAAATGAGGTCAGATGATCAAATATTAGTCAAAGTGGAAGTGTCTTACAAAATAGTGAGACATACTTGTAGCAAGGGAATTCCAAAGCTTGGAGATGAGGCAAATGAAAGTGCAGCAAACAATATTGATACAAATAAAATTATATTTTTAAAGCTAATCCTATTTCTATACAATAACAATTTTGTCAAACTGTTAGCAATTGATGGATGCTGGAAATCAGAAACAAAAACAGAATTTGCTGGAAAAATACAGCATCTCTGGCAGCATCTGTGGAGAGAAAGCGGAGTTAACATTTCAAGCCCAGTCCTGTTCTAAAGAAGGGTCACTGGACCTGAAGCACTAACTCTGCTTTCTCTCAGATGCTGCCAGACCTGCTCAGTTTCTCCAATAATTTTCTGTTTTTGTTCCAATTATATAGCCGGTTGGTCTGTTTGCCATTCAACGGCTGGGATTTTTTAAAAAATTGCATAGCATTCCTGATAATTCTAACAGGACAAGTGCACCACTTTTTTTTCCCCTTTATTCGTTAATGGGATGAGGACATTGGTGGCTAGGCAGCATTTATTGTCCATCCTTAAATGACCAGAGTGCAGTTCAGAGTCAACCACATTGCTGTGGATCTGGGATGACATGTAGTCCAGACCAGGTAAGGTTGGGAGTTTCCTTCCCTAAAGGACATTAGTGAACCAGGTGGGTTTTTCCCAACAATTGACAATGGATTCATGGTTATCATTAGATTCTTAATTCCAGATAGTTTATTGAATTCAAATTTCACAATCTTCCATGGTGGGATTTGAACCCAGGTCCCCAGAATGTCAGCCGGGTCCCTGGATTAACAGTCCAGCAATAATACCACTCAGCCACTTTCTCTTTTTGCTATCCCTACAGTAAATGTGCTTTGCATGCACAAAGTTTACCAAAGTTCATTAGTGAAACCCGCCATGAGCTGACAATGCTGTTTCTACAAGTGGCCAAGTTTTCCTAGTCCGCAGAGAGAATGTGTATCATGACCACAATATCTCTGCCCAACTCCATTCCCACTAACATAAAAACGAAAAGAACTGCGGATGCTGTAAATCAGGAACAAAAACAAAGTTGCTGGTAAAGCTCAGCAGGTCTGGCAGCATCTGTGAAGGAGAAAACAGAGTTAACGTTTCGGGTCCGGTGACCCTTCCTTGATAAAGAGCACTAAAGTGCACAAGTTTTTCCCAAAATTAAATTTCACTTACACATATTTCACATTACACTGGCATCATTTTATTTCATGTGCATTATCAGTTATTTGTTGACAGTAACTTGGTCAGAGAGCTAAATATGCTGGTATGCTTCAATGTTGGCACATACCAATGGTTGCAGGGGAGTTGGGAACATTTCCTTTATTGTGGAAGGAAAATTGTTATTTTTTTTTGTGTTCATTCTTTATTGAATGTTCATATTAATGTCCAGTGTTGTTCTCACCATGAACATGTCTGAATCTGCAGTGTCAACTGGCCGACAATTCTATGCATTGTAAAGTGGTGGCAGAGAGCAATCTCAGTGGAGGCAACCAAAATGTTGTAAGGAGTTTTGCAACCAACACCTTGAGATGGGTACACCGTTGACACTACCCTTTCAGCTCCTTATTTTCTCACCTTGACAGAGTGTCCACCACCCCACTAATTCCTTTCCACCACTCCTTCATGCCACTGACCCGACCCTGTCCTTCACTGTCCTCTTTAAATCTTCCATGCCTCGATCCCACTCCACAATCCCTTCACCACTGACTCTTCCACTTTGCCAATTCAAAATCTCCATGCAAGGGTCCAGTCTCCTATTCTCTCCTCTTGAGCCATACAAGCTGATCAAGTAAAACTGCTGAACTTACACAAAACTGCACAAACTTGACAAGTACAAACCAGGTTTAAACAATCTAAATACTGGACACCAAGGGATTCTTGTATTTCATTGCCTTTATATTGAAAGCAGGATTAATGACTGTGTTTAGCTTATAACTTTGAACATTACACAAGTTGTATAAAGCTCGACATGCAATAAACATGCTGTTGGCTTTATCTCTTTATTTCAACCCATCAAGAATAGTAATTTTGCAGTTTGCCTAATTAAGTCATTCTGCATACCACATTTTCATTCTTAAATGTTCCATAATACATCCCCTAAAGAACACATGGCTTTAAACTGAATTGATATAGCATCAACCATTGCTTGTGAAAGAGCTCCAATTCAGCAATGATGGAGTGGTTGAACCATTGATGCACAAGATGTCCTTCTCTAAAGGCTATTAGTTAGGTTTTTATAACAAATGAGAGTTTCAGAGTCACTATTACTGAGATTACCTTTCAATTCCAGACTTTATTAAACGAATTTAAATTGCACTAGCTGCCATGGTGGAATTTGAACCAGTACCCCAAAGATCACAAGAACTAGGAGGAGGAGTAGACATTTTAGCCCTTCGAGTACAATCATGGCCTCAACTCTACTTTGCTGCCCACTCTCCACACATCTTCAACCCATTACTAATGAAAAATATGTCCATCTCCTTAAATTTACTCAATGTTCCAGCATCCACCATACTCTGGGATAGTGAATTCCACGGATTATTTTTGGCTTCTGGACTATTAATCCAGCAACATTATCACACACATTACAATTACATCCTCCACTCAAACTCAGCATTCAATTTGAGCATCCCATCTACCTTCAGAATGGTGAATGATAATTAACATTTTCTCTGCTTAATGTAAGCCTGGCTAATCCTACCTTTTGCTTTCAAACTCTCAGTTGGCTGCATAACCACATGAGGCCAAACTGAAATTCCTGTCTGTTATATTTCTGTGTTTATACTGAAGCTCATCTTAACATGGCTCCTTCTATCTATCTTTCTATGGCAATGAAAAGCATATTACCATTTATATTTAGAGACAAAGGTAATCAGTATTCTTTGATCCCAACTCCTTTTCCATCTCAGAAGTAAAGGAGAATTTACAGTATCACAGAAACTCAGGAGATATGGCAGCATCTGTGGGAAGAAGGCAGAGTCAATGTTTTGGGTCTAAAGTCCTTTCTTTAGAATGCATGAGCTCTGAAGAAGGGTCACTGGTGCCGAAACATTGATTTGGCTTTCCTTCCACAGATGCTGCCAGACATGCTGAGGTTCTCCAGCAATTTCTGTTTTTGTTTCAGGTCTTGCAGCAGCTACAGTTTTTTTTTTGGTTAGAACTAAACTACCCAGTTATTCTCAGGCAGACTCCAGCAGAGGCCACCGAATTCCGCCCCCTGCCCTTTCATGTATTCTACCTTTAAAACTACAATCCCAAAAAATAGTCATCTTGTAAAACAAGAGTTACAATTCTGAAACATCTGATAAACCTAAATTGTAACAGTTAGCAGAAATACTGATTAACCATCTTTTAAACAATAATTCCATTCTGTCTTGGAATTAACTGGACAGATTAAAGTATAACTGTGTACAAAACCTGCCATTCCGCCACCTTACTCTGATGTGAAGATTAACGATCTAGCACTGTCAGCACAGCAACCCTAGTCACTCTTTGTAGTTGTGAATAAGTTGCTCCTTCTTCCCAGTAAGACAATCAGGGCCTCCCTTTAATCTCCGAGCTACCTATACTGTTTGCTGGGCAGAAATCAGAACATTTCACATGTCTTTCCTCATTCTTTCATCCATGCCAAATTGAAGAAACAGTCATAAAACCTAACATATCATATAAACTTCATGCTGTATTTGTAACACTTTCTAAAGATGAAGCATTCAGCAAAGAAGTGTCATAACTTATTCAGTAGGCCTGCAGGATTGGCTGCTCTGGGGTAAAGAATAGTGAATATCTACCTTGGAAGTATGAACTTTTTTTTAATGAAAACATAGTCTCTCAGTGCTGTTAACTCATTGCAAAGTTAACCTGGTTGAAGACTATGAAAATTCAAGAGCATGATGACTGCTTTCAGCAACCAAACTTAAATGTGGCTTTGAAAGTAGCTTCCTCAGCTGTTTCCTAGTTGTGGAATAGATGTCTCTGTTGGGGCAAAAGTTTAGAAAGAATATACATTATGGTAGTGTCACTTGTCTTGACAGACAATTTGTTCTTTTTCAACACAAGGAAGCTTGATTTTGCAACAAATTGACTTTGTTGCTGCTCAATAAATCTTTTAGAATGCAGCATTTATAAATGAAAGCCATTACAAAGACAAGCTAGAAATTTTATTTAAATATCCAAAAAAAACATATTTTGAATAAAGTTAACAAACTATGAAAATAGGTGCATCTAATGTCCAGATGTCAATATACAGTTTCAAGGTGTTGATCTTCTGGACGTTGGCTGTTCTTTCAATAACTAAGCAAAATGAATTAATTTATTCAGTTGATGCTGCAGACTCAAATTGCATTCTCCAGTTAGTAATCATCCGTCTAAAAAAGAGATAAAAGCTCAAATTAGAAGTATACGGTAACCTGAGAACAAGATTCACCATGGCATCTCTAGACTGAAATAGAACATATTTTGATACACCAGCTGATGAAGTGTTTCATAAATCTGCTTCAATTTTGAAAATCATATTTCATATCCAATTTTTGTCTCTTGTAAACACATTTTTCTAATACTAAGATTTGAAATAATAACAATTTCAGGTGGCGGTCTGGAAGAAGCGGGAGATTTTTTTGTATCAGCGGGTCTAAAATGGAATCAAAACTTTGAACTAATGATTAGATTCTAACTACACAAGAACAAAGTCAGCACCTTCAACTATTTTTTACATAGGTCATGACTGTGTAATTATAATATACATTTTGTAAAGAAAGCCAATCTGTCTTTAAACTGAATAAATAATTTTACAAAATGGCTCCCAAAAGTCAGAGATTTGTGACTTTGGGTTGCAACTGCTATTGGGACTAGGCTGCATTTATCCCATGAGAAATCACCACAGAACATATGAGATTCAACAAATATTCCAAGGATAAACAGAAATGTCTTGACAATGGTTACCTTGGAGGTGTGTATTGCTCTTCCCAGTGCACTACACTGTCACAATGATAGCCATCCAAGTTAAGGCTGAGATACTTAACAGTTAAATATCTCAATTAAAACAAAAACTGATAGGATCTATGTCCCAGGCATAAGCAACCAAATATGGAAGCTTGATTAATCAGTTTTGGGATAGCACCCATTTTAAGTTTTGATCTGTATAAGACATTTTGGGAAGAATCTCCTAAGAACTCTGAGGCACCATCAGATAAGGAAGACCAGGCCACTGAACCAGGTTACAATGGGACACAACTTGCTGAGCTGTAAAAGCAAAACAAAAAGAAAGTTTCACTCCCTCCTATCACTTGTAATAGCTCACTCCACCTATGAAAGCAATCTCCAGCTCTTCAACTGAATCGGACATCAAGTCTTTAACCACTTCACTCTAGAAAGAGAATCTTCAAGCAAATAACAGTATTCCAACCATCTTACAGATTTAATGCACTTTCATCTTTATAAAATATCTTTGATCCTTACCTACTTTTTAATCTTTATATTTGTACTTTTAGTTAATAACTACACTTTTCACTGAGAACTTTCAACAATAATGGTGCACCAAACTACGTTTTGATCTTGTTTGAAGCTTAAAGCTGTGCTGCTGGCCACTTTAAAATTGCATCATTAAAAAGTGCTAAGGGCTATTGTACTAACTTATGCAAATCAACAATTTACAGAGCACTGAGGACCACCTGCTATAGTCATGATACATTAAATAATTAAACTAACTTGGAAATAATACCAAAGCATTAGGAAATCCATCAAATTCAATAAGCTGTTCTCACCTCATCATCTTCTTCCTCTGATGTTTCCTTTTCCTAAAAGAAAACACAACTTTGTAACAATTTGATTTGAAACAACTATACTTGTGGCTTTTCCTGAACACCAAACATGGAATCTCATTTTAAGGCTTCTGCTTAATGTGTGCCAAAATTCAAATTATTTAATCTGGAAGTGTAAATGGATGGAGATGGGTATTTTTGCTAAATTAATTTCACTATCATCCTGACTACAGATGACTATCATCTGGCCTACTTGTAGTAGACAATTTTCAGACGTGTTCACTAAAGTCATAAAAGCTCACTGCTCCATTTTATGAAATAGAACAAGCAGGTGTAAAAATTCAAAATATTTACAAGGTTACTCCAGCACTTTAAAAAAAAACTTAGCCCCTTATCTAGCATAGATGGTTAAAGACGATGCCTTGTTTGAAACTTTCAGACTTCATGACAGATTCTGTGTTACTAGGCTTCCCTTCATCAAATCCCAAATGACTGTTTTTCCTTCATGATGTATGTCAGCCAGTATTAATACAAGTTCACATCAGGATGATCAAAGCCATTGTGTCCCCCCAAATCTGTTGATCCTTCAATACAAATCAGGCCTTTTGTAATTATACTGCCCTATTCTAACCAGAATTGAGCTTTTGAACCCTATTCATAGGATGAACATCCTATCCATCAAATAGAACATTTACTTTCAACTTGGTAACATTCCCAGAGTCTACACCTGCTTGAACTCCACTACTACATATTCTTTTCATGAATTGCTATCATACGAACATACAAATTAGGAATACATGTAGACCACTCAACTGCACTTCATGGCTCATCTGATTACTTACCCCTGATAACCTATCACACTCTTGCTTCTCAAGAATCTATTTCTGAAAATATTCAGGGACATGTTCCACTGCCTATTGAGGAAGACAGTTCCAAAGACTCAATCTTCTGTGAGAAAAAAGACATTTCCTCATCGGTCTTAAATGGGTGACACATTATTTTAGAACTGCGATCTCAATTTCTAGGTTCTCATAGAAGAGGAACATTCTTATCACGTGAATGCTGTTGACACCCCTCAGGATTTTGCATGTTTCGAAAAAAATCATCTCTTATTCTTCTCAATCGCAGTAGATACAATCCTAGCCTGTTCAACCTTTCCTCATAAGACAACCTGACCAATCCCAAAATGATTAATTAAATCTTTTCTGAACTGCTTCCAAAGTATGTACCCCTTCCGTAAACAAATTAAACAACACTATGCACATGACTCACCAATGTATTGTATAACTGAAGCATAGACTCCCTTCTTTTGTATTCAATTCTCCTTGCAATAAACAATGATATTCTATTTGTTTTTCTAATTACTTGCCATACACTCATACTGATTTTTTTGTGTTTGAGGTACTAGGACACCTAGATCCCTCTGCATCTCAAAGTTCTACAATCTCTCACTATATAGACAAGAGAGTTTTTTTATTCTTCCTGCCAAAATGGACAATTTAACATTTTCCTATATTATACACCATTTGCTTGATCTTTTCCCTTTCATTTAACCCATGTCCCTTTGTACACACTTTACATCACTTTCAAAACTTAATTTCTCATCCATTTTTATGTCATCAATAAATTTAGCAACCATACCTTCAGTCCTTCGTCCAAGTATTACATAAACTGTAAAAAGCTACTGCCCCAGCACTGATCTCTATGGCACAGCACTCTTTACATATTACCAGCTAAAATTGACACACTTTTTTTTCCTGTTAGCTAGCCAATCTTCTATCCATGACACTATGTTACCCATTATACCACAAGCTGTTATCTTCTGAAATAACCTTTTTGTGACAACTTATCAAATGCCTTCTGGAAATCTATGCACAGTACATCACCGGTTCCCCTTTACTCACAGCTCAGATAACTTTTCCGAAGAATGCCAATAAATTGAAAAACATGATTTATTTTTCACAAAACCATGTTGACTCTGCATAATTACCTCTTTTCTAAGTGCTCTGCCACAACCTCTTTTAATAGTAGTACTAACATTATACCTATGTCAGTTGTTAAGCGACCTGGCTTGTGGTTTCCTGTTCTTGGTCTCCCCTTTTGAATAAAGGAGTTACACTCACTATTTTCCAATCAGATGGTACCTTTCCTGAATCTACAAAAGTTTGGAAAATTAAAGCCTGTACATCCACTATCTCATTAGCCATTTCGTTCATGGAATGTACATTGTCATGCTGAGATGTTGGGAGCAGATGGATGCCATCCACCTGCACATGTGCAGATGTTATCAGTGATGCCACTCCGCCATGACACAGCTTTCTGGCTGTAGAGTGTGTATGCACAGATGGTGATGCTGACCCTACACCATTACATGAGAACTTTTTGGCCACTGTCCTGCTGCTTCCCTGCCCTGCTTCTCCCCTTGTAGCTACTCGCTCATGGAAAGCAGCAGTGAGTGAGGCAGCAGGTGAGGCACCAAAGAGTTCTTCCTGAGCAATCTACTGGGTCAGTGGTTTTCTAATTTGTTTCAGGCACACCAGGCTGCTGCATGAAATAAAATTTGACATGTTACACAAGCACTGTGTTGTCACTGGCAGTGACATCAAAAGCACTGTAGTTGTGGGGACACCCCTGCAGTTGTGGTGGCAACAAACACAGCCTTTCTTTTTAATACCTTAGTAAGAAGGGCACCAGGATCTGGGACTTGTTGGAGCTGTGGCTAACAATTTGCTCAGTACAACTTCCTTGGTGATTGCAATTTTCTTGAGTGTGTCCTGCTCTCTTGATTGACAGCTATTTCTGGAAATATTATGTGTATTTGTAACGTTAAGAACTGTCTCTTTATTCCCAAGATTCACTTCCTGTAGGACCAATGCTCACTTGGTAAGTTTTTCTTTTTCAATATCTAAAGAAAATCTTACTGTTTTTATATTTCTTGCTAGCTTTCTCTCATGCACTATTTTTTCCTCTCTTTTATAATATTTTTGATGATTGTAAATTTTGTCCTGCCACCTGTTTTTGCACAATTGTATGCTTTTTTTCTTTAAGTTTGATACTGTCTTTAACTTTTCTAGTTAACCAAGGATGGTGAGTCCTCCCTTGGAATTTTTCTCTTTTGAAGGAATATATCTCTTCATTCTGAAATACCTCCATAAACGTCTTTCTCTGCATCTCTATTGACCTATCCCTTAATCTAATTTGCTAGTGCCCTTTAGTTAGCACCGCTATCATGCCCAAATAATTGCTCCGATTTAATTTAACTTGCCAGTCTAGGGCACACTGCTCTCTCCCTATATGTTATTAAGAAAATATTCCTAAAACATTCTATGAGCTCCTCATCTATCTATCTATGCCAACCTGAAGTTTTTTAGTCTCTAGATTGATTAAAACTTCCATTGATTTTTTGATGAGCTCCCATTATTTCTTCCTTTATACGCTACCTTACTGTGTGGTTACTGTTCCCAGCTGCCTACTCTTCCTAAATGTTATGTACCCTTCAATATTCCGGTTCCAAACTACGTCATTCTGCAGCTGTCTCTCTATGATGCACTTGTTTATTTTTACTAGTGCTATTAGTTCATGTTTTGTTTTGAAGACTACATACATTCAAATACATTTCCTTTACTTTTGTCAATTGTTCTTTCTGTAACCTTTAGCTTTACTTGTTCAGGCACTCTTAGATTCATACACACTGTCCTCTCCTGACATGATTGGTTTACATTTGCCACATTAATACCTTTCTCACTTGGCTTGCCTTTAGTTTTTGATTTATCAAATATTCCAAAATTTGATCATTTGCACAAACTATTTAGGGTAAAAGCCTCTTTACATCTCTAGTTTTGCAGTTCACTAGAACACTTGTACCAGCACAATTCAGGAGCAGATCACAGTACAGCTCCGCTTTGCCAAATACTGGTGCCCATAAACCATAGTCTGCTTCTACTGCTGCAGTCTTTGAGCAATGCATTCATTTTTACAAACTTAATTGTCCTATGCCAAAACAGCAAAAAGGTAACTGGATTAAAACATATAACATAACAGGGTGCATGTGGAAAGGAGGTTTCCTTTTCTGGGAGAACCTTAGAACTAGGGATCACTGTATTAAAATAAGGAGTCATCCATTTAAGACAGAGATGAGAAGAACAACTTTTCTCACAGGAGGTAATGAGTCTTTGGAACTCCCTTCCTCAAAAGACTTTACTACTACTACTACAACAAGGATTCTCTTTCCTTGTACTCTATATATTTTTGGTACTAACATGGTCCACAATGTCTGGATCCTCCATTTAGGAGGATTGGTCACCCACGCCGATTCTCCTTCTCCTGAAGATGAAGGTTGGTTTGGATGTGACCTGGAGTCAAGTTGGAGAACCTTAACTTTTTTATTGCTTGCCAAGCCCAAACCCACCTGTTTTTGAACAAATAATAGGACCAGGACCATGAGCCCCTGGTCCCAACATTTTATAAGATTATGGCTGATCTGCCCTAGGCTTCAACTTCTCATTGTGTCAGCTCCTCATACCCTTCAAAACTCACCATTTCAAATATTTACCCCTTCTTTAAGTGCTTTCAGTGGTCTAACCTCCATAACTCTGGAGAAATCCAGAATTTCACAACCCTTAGAGAAGAAATTCCTTTGCATCTCAGTTCTAAATTAGTGTCTCGTTATTCTGTAACAATGTCCCCTAGTTTGAGATTCCCCAGTAGTGGAAACATCTTCCCAACATTCCCTGTCAAGCCCCCTCAATGGTGTATGTTTCAATAAGATCACCCAGCATTCTTTGAATCTCTAATGAATAAAGTCCTAACCTGTTTAGCTGTTCTTGAAAAGTCAAACCATTCATCCCAGGAATCAGCCGATAGTAAATCTCTTTTGAACTGCTTCCAATGCCAGTCTATCCTTTCTTAAATATGAGGACCAAAACTACACAGTGTTCCAGCTGCAGCCTCACAACCATCTTGTACAGTGTAACAAGAATTTAACTTTTGGGAAGTTAAAATTCCTGCCTCTAGGACCATCTTGATAAATATACTTAAAGTACATCTCACCATCAGATTAATAAAAATCCCTCACTCTCCTTCAACGTACCTGTTGGTCCATTTTTTCTGTCTCCACCTCAAATCTCTCTCTTTCTTGTTCAATAGTTTCAAAGAATGTTTCCTCAGCTTTTGCAATTTTGTATTTAATAGTCTCCTCCTCATCGACTTCTTTGCTTTCCACCGCCCTTCCTTGTTCAGATTTAGCACGTTCTTTTACACGTAACTCACGTTGACGTGCTTCCAGAATCTTCTCCCGTTTTGTCTCCCTCTCAAACATCTAAAAATGAAATGAAAATAATGCCATATTTATAGAACAGCAGTTTTGGATGAAATCAGCTTGGGCTCAAATAATATTCACATAACGGACAAGAAACCGCAAAATCATCTTTGTAAAATATGGGATTTTGTAAATTTCCAAATGGAAGATACAAATTTGTATATTAAGTTAATTAATGCAATGGCAAAATGAGACTGATAAAATAACACCTCTTAAAAGCGGAAATCAGATTTGGCATAAAATTACACCCAGTTTACAAAGGATAAATGATCAAAAATACAGATTCCATTCTGTTTTATAACATTAAAAGTCTGTAGTTTTTTTAAAAAGTTGAGTTTATGTAAATATTAACTTTTTATCCATTTAGGAAAAGGGATTGTTATCAAAATTGCATAATTTCACGATAATCCAAAATCATTGCGTACAAGCCAGAGTGGTTTGCAACTTGAGTTAGAACGAGTTTTTGGTGAAAGGGTGTGAAATTCATTTGCCCCAATTCTTGGGCATGGGTCTGCAGTTTGCAGTATATCATGCACATTTTGGAAATGGGACATAAGACAAAAGTTCATCCAACATTTTATTTCAAGACTGTGGCCTGACAAGGTGTGGTCTTCACATCAGTGACCTCTTCAGACTTGGCATCCACTGCACTCTCCACAGGGCTGAGTTGTGTTCCTTAGAAACCATGCCTCCAGATGTCACTCCCTTCATAAAAGTAAAGTTACAGAAATGCTCACTATCCTTTGACGGAGAGGCCACTTCATTCCAAGGAAAGAGGAAGGGTTGCAGAAGTCGTGATACTGCCTCAGACTCACTTGGCCAAGAGGTGAAAGCAGGAAGTTGGCCATGTTCCCGTTGGGAGCAAGAAATTCCTGAGTGGCCCTGTGAAGAATGTGGTAGCATGTGGCAATGATAGTAAATGACCAGAGAACAGCACCAGAGACCTGGTAGCAGTACATTAAAAATTTAATGACCTTACTCAAATGGTCAAGATTTTTGTATGCATTTGCAAATCACATCTTGAACCACCACACCACATCTCTCACACTGTTCAATCCATCACACCTTAACAAAACACAACTTACTCTTAATATTTGTATGTTATATCTCAACCTCATACCAAGGCCAAGGAGCAAAATCACAGGCCACAGTATTGATCCTGCCCTGTTCCCAGTCATGACCCGAAGACAGCAAAACCCATCTTGACCCAAGCACAGCAGATCCACACCAGAACCAAGAACAATGGACTCTCTGGAGACTCAGGCACCCAGTAATTGGGCTATGAAGAACCCCCTTGTGCAGTTCCTTGCCTCACACAACTTTAAATCATACCAGCCATGAATACAAACCTCTCACTGCTTCCAGGTATTCAACTGTGACCTGCTTCACCATCATGCATGCTGTGAATATACAACAGCTCTGCTGCAGGAATGAAGACATTTTTGGGCAAAATAAAGGAAAATGTTGACAAATGTGGATATAGAGACTTAGTGCATAGCCAGATAGTTAATAATTAATGACTACAAGCAAAGAGTCTGGATCCATCATGACACAGGTCACTGTGCAGAGCATGAACCCCATCTTTTACACAGTGAATGTGGTGGACACCTCCATGGAAATGCTGCCAGACTGACCATGATGGAGCAGCTGTGAGCCACAGTTTCAGCTTCTACTGCAAAGACAAAGGCCTGCCAATGTTTTAATGTTGCTCTAGAAGCTCAAACAGAGGCCAGGCTGCTGCTATCCAAGCCGAGACAACTTCTATTGTGATTGTGAATTGTGGTGCTTGACAGAGCATCCAGATCTTCAAAACATGCTGGCATTCTGTGTTCCACCAGATGACAAAGAGTGCTGAGAAACTGCCTGAGGGACAGTAGCATCATGGAGCACAAATTTTCACTCCCACCACTGCCACTCTGAAGTTGCCTTAACAGATCTCTCTTAGCCAGCTAGCCTAGATAGCTGCCATTCATAGACAACCACACAGTAGTACACAACCGGGGGGAGAAGCTTAAGGTATCAAGTCTTACTGCTGATTAGTTGGCACCATTAAAAAGTTGGAGCATGGGTAAATAGGTTGCTTTTTTTCTGTATCTTATCTTGCTCTCCCAGAAAAAAAAGCAGTCTCAGACAGAGTTTCCAAATTGTGGATAGCGACCCTCAGCAGTCACAAGACGGGTGTTTGGGGTTGTGCAGTCAGGGACAGCAATGGCTGCTGTGATTTTTATACTGATTCCTGACAGCTGCAAGCCCCGAAGAAGCCTGTTAAAAGACAGTGCATCTTTGTTTTGTAGACACACCACCTGTTCATCAATGCCCACAGCACTCAACTCCCGTTTCCCTCTCTGCTCAGCAACCGAACCCTCCCTCTCTGTGCAACCGAAGAAGCCTGCCCCTCCTCTTAACTGAAGCCTCTCTTCACATTCTCCATTCAAAAAAATGCAGCTTCCCTGCCCAGACTCAACAGCTCATGTACATCTATTTTTTTTTATTCTGAACTTATACAAAGTCTAAGCCATTAAAATTGGGCTACAACGGGAAATAATTTCGGATGTAATGGCCTAGAACAGTCTAAATGAAAAGCAGCCAGATGAACGGAAATTAATGTCTTCTGCTCAATGATTAGATTGAAACATTTATATATGTGGCCTACAGGAGAACAGATTAGTGCCAGTTACTTCACTGACTTTTAGTATGTTAAGTGGTTTCGCCCATAGAGAGACAGAATAGCATATTAGTTAATTTAATTTAAAATACAGCATAATAGCAAACAGAGGAATCCAATTCAAAATTGGGAAAATCAAATGTTTACAAGCTGCAAACAACTCTTCGTACATTCTCAACAGGTCTGCAGTATCTGTGGAGAGAAGGCAGAATTAATGTTTCGTGTCCAGTGACCCTGCTTTAGAACATGGTTCTGAAGGGTCACTGGACCCAAAACGTTAATTCTGCTTTTCCTCCGCAGATGTCGCCAGACCTGCTGAGATTTCCAACAATTTGTTTTTGTTTCTGGTTTCCAGCATCGGCAGTACTTTTTTTTCCCCTTGTACATTCTCCTTTTTTTAAAAGCAGTGTCCATTTTTCCCATTTTCAGTCTGTAATCAAATGAAAACACGTGGTCCCTTGCAACGGTGATAAACTTTTTGAGGGTTGTCAATTAAGCTTTGTGGTTGAAAGAGTCATAAGGCAGACACCAAAAAAGACCATGTACTGGTGGTGTTTCTTACATTTTTCTTGAATTTGCTAAATGTAAATATTTGAGGACCAGAATCAAAAACCTGAGACTAAGCTTGTGGTTCCTTAGGCAGCAGTGATCCATCTGTCACTATGCGCTTTTGAGACTTAACCAGTGAAGCCTGTGTAAATTTCTACAAATCCAGTGGCAACAGCAGCATCCTCTCCCAAGCCAGCATGCCCAGTATTGAGATGTTAAACACTGAATACCCTTGTGCTGGGTTGAACACATCATTGCTTTGCCTGATATCAGAGTCTCCAAGCAACTCTGTTGTACTGTGAAGTCAACTAGTCCAGGAGATTCTCAGGAGGATCCAGAAATGCTCTCAAAGCATCCCTGAAGAGGTCAAACATCTGACCAAAATCGAGAAGGTTTATTCAGGAAGGCACCAAACAGAGATTTCATTAAGACAATGCAGGGACAATGTCAAGGAGTTTGACAGAGGTCACAGCTTCCAAACAATGTCTAATCAGCATTATTTCACATCATACGCTCTAGATTTTGTTAGAATTACATAATTTGGCAATATTACCAGCAACTTCACTCATTTTTGGATCTGAAGCACACCCTTCAGATTTGTAGTTTTACTTAAAATAATTTTTGATGTAATGTATTCCATTAATTTTACAAATAAAACTGCAGCTCAGCAACTACACAAGCTGACTGCAGAAATGGTGATCAAACATTCTTGTTCAGAACACTCACCGCATTTGCAAGTGCTTTTTCATTTTTCTGGTAAGTACAGAAACCTGATGAGTACTCGAGCAGTGTTGTTGTGCCTCGGTGAGAACCACAGGCAAGTAATCGGCCATTGTCTTGGATGCGCAAACTGTATAGAGCTTCATCACACACCTAAATGTTTGGGGTAGGGAGAGGAAGGAAGGTGAATGTATTTACAAAAAAAAGTCATAATGCAGCAAGTTGACAATGAAACACGTTACACTTGGTTCTCCCTTTTTACCTAGCAACTATATCTAAACTCAACTTTCCTTCAGTATCAGTATGACATCCCTATCTGTATTATATCAGGCTGAAATAAAAAGTACATTATTCTAGACTTTTCATTATCATGGCACTTTAGAAATAGAAAAATTCCATCACTGACATGTGACACCAAATACCAATTAAAACGAAAGTACTAGCATCACAACTTTTAATATTGTTATCATGACAGCCGCATGTATCCATGTAGTAAATATGCTCAACTAAAACCATTTTGTAGCAACTGAAATAGAACTAAAACTAATATGGGGTCAGCAACAGAATTGTTAAAACATTTATACACTTCAGTTTCATAAAATGACCACTTACATTGAAAAATTATTAGGCAAAGTGAATAAAAATATTGCTTCAGGATATGTTACACAATTAGGAAGAAAATTAATTTAAATTTATATCATATATTGGGAAAAACAAAATATTCGCCCAAAATGTTCATTACACTTTCAAAAATCTGCTAGGTAAGGTAGTGAAATCAAAGATATGAGGGAAGTTTTAAAGTTTGAATGCGAAGATAAGAGGGCTGAAGTGCCAGAAAGACAAGTACAAAAAGCTGCATGTTCCTTTTCCATTTTAAAATATTTTCTTAGATTGCAACTTAATAAGAACATTCACAGATGATATTTTAATCCTGTAAAAGCTATTCAGTGGTAGAGCTCAGATTCATGCTTAAAATTTTCTACTGTCTGAGCTCGTGATCTGAATTCTGATAAGCATCAAGCTGATGCCAGGTGCTTCCCCACAGGGAGCAAAATAACAGAAGAGGAGTCAGGATGCTCCAAACAGGCAATTCCAGATAATGGTTTACAATGTGCTCTTATGTCTTAAATGCAAGAATAGATAAAATGTATCAAAATTGCCACACTCAGCAAAATAAATTCTATTATAATGAACAAAGCACCAACTTACAGATGAACCTGTTAGCAAGATTCCTTAAGTGATGCATACACACTCTCTTTAGTGACAGGTACAATGTACAAGTTGCTCCAGCTTACTTTATACACTGTGACTGGAATGAGTTTGTGTGTACAATGCCTCATATAATTAAACATTTGGTCAGATTAGGTATCAGGGGGTGCAGACTAATGACAAGTTGCCTTCTAAACAGGAATAGAGGGAAAGATGAACTTTTTTTCAGCCATATTTATGTATCTTCAAGCAGTACATTATTAAGAGACGTTTGTAGAATTGATTAGAACCATACTACTACCTAGCTCTCAAGAGAAAAGATCAATATGCAGAATGACATTGAGGATAAATGAAAATGCTTTAAAAAATTAAACCACCTAATACTTTGTTTATTAAAACAATGCCCATTAAAAACTCAATAAAAGATAACAACTTGCACTGGAACCAGGAATTAAATGTTAGCCCCAAAACAAACTAATCTATGTGAGCTCATTACAGTAATAGACGGGTATGAAATGTAGGAACAAAAA